TTGAAATGAATGATAAAGTAAGTAAATACATTAAAATTTGTTAAAGTGTTGGTTGAACCCAATTTACAATAATTTATAAAAAAAATTATTGTATTGTTAAAGGTACATTAAATGAAGTCCACATGAGAGGAAAGCGAATTGCCACCTTTAAATAATATATTTGGTTTGAAGGAAATAGATGAAAGAGAACAAATGAGCTTTTCTTTTTTTTTTAGGTGATTCAAATTTCCTAGCTCTTACTTCCATTAGGATCAAATTATCATTGAGTTACATAGGTCGTTGATAAAAGAAATATGTTTTATAACCAATCAAATTATAATATTTTCAAATATTACAATTTGATTAGTTGACAAAGCTTTTTCAAATGAAGCTTCACACTTTAATTTTATAAATATTATATAATCACTATTTCAATTTTGTCAAATGGTATTAATAGAACTTAGAAAAATAATACAAAAAAAATGAGGTCATGGTCACACTCTAAATAGTGAATGCCACATTATTTTAATGTAATTATCTATGTTACCTTTACATTGCATTTTTTTTCAAATTTTTACATTTTTTTGTTTCTTATTAATTATTATTAGTTTTAATTACTTAAAAAAAAGGAAATGGAAACGTTGCAAGAAATGGCTAAAAAAAAGGGTTAATGCCAACTATCGTTCCTCTACTATAAAAAATAGTTCAATTTAAACCTTCTACTTTCAAGTCATCTCATGTCGTCCCTCTACTATGAATTAACTACATATGTCTTCCCTCTACTATTGAAAATAGTATTGATGTCGTCCCTCCGTCGAAGTGCCGTTCAATTTTCGGTTAACGAACGGTTTGTTGACTGTTAACATTAACTTGTCCAGACATCCAACTGCATTATTATTATTTTTTTTTACACTTGGGCTTTGTGGGCCCCACCAATGCCACATCAGATGCCCTTTAAATTCTTTGCCGGCGCTGTGCAAGCATCAAAATCCCCAAATATTTTCCTTCTCTTCGATCTCATTAGCCCTTTTCTGAGAAACCCTAGAAAGAGTCCATTAAACCCATCAACAATCAACCAAAATTAGTAGTCGGCATTGTGCAAGCATCAAAATCCCTAAATTTTTTTTCTTCTCTTCGAACTCATTTGTCCTCCGAGTGATGTAGCACAAGCCCGAGCTCATGTTCGACACCCTGAAGCACCGTGTGGATGAATTTTGTGGGCCGGAACACAACAATTCCGGTAGTGATGATGGTCACTGAA